CTTATACACATTCATACATTTTATAAAAGTAGTTAATTGTTAGACTTCTCATTTATCTATTAAATTAGTTAATTGTTACATTTCTCTACATTTCTCTACATTTCTCTTTAAAGAAAAAAAATAGTGAAAGTAGTATATTTTTACATTTGTCATATTAATATTAGTTAAAGTACTTAATTGTTTCATTTTTCATATTAATATTAGTTAATTGATACATTGCTAATTAAAGTAAAAAAAAAAACTAGTTAATTTTTACATTTGTCATAATAATATTAGTTAAACTACTTAATTTTTACATTTCTCATATTAATATTAGTTACTTGCTACATTTCTCATTAAAGTAAAAAAGGTAGTAAATTTTTACATTTGTCATATTAATATTAGTTAAAGTATACATTTCTCATTAAGGTAAAAAGAACTAGTAAATTTTTACATTTGTCATTTTAAAAACTAGCTAAAGTAGTTAATTGTTACATTTGTAATATTAATATTAGTTAATTGCTATATTGCTCATTAAAGTAAAAAAAAAAAATAGTTAATTTTTACATTTCTCATATTAGTTAGTTGCTACATTTCTCATTAAAGTATTAATTAGAAGTAGTTCGATTTTTATACTCATATTTTAGTTCGAATTTGCTATAATTTTTTTAATCACATTTTATTATTACTATTGTACTCATATAAAATATTTGATATCATTTAATATTTGTTCAATTTTAAAGATGGAGCGTGGTAGACATTCTGTAGATGTGTAATCTCCAACGCAACCGCAAGAGGGAGATTGCGTCGACTCGTCCTACTTCACGCAAAGGCAAAGGTAAAGCGCGAGCGGAGTCTTCTTTTCAAAGTCGAGATGACTTTGAAACGGATTACCAACGGAGAGATGATATGATGATGTCCGACGAGCATCTACAAAACCTATTGTCCCAAAACGATCCACGCTTTGCACAAGAACAACACATCCCGACAACCATTGATGAAGAGGAGCTCGAGGATGACGATGCGGAGGAGGACACGGGGGGCGACGGGACTCACGGCACCCCGGATGATGAGCAAGACTTGGAGGACGAGGGCGGTTCAACCCAAACTGGTAAGAAATCTAAATCTCCTATTATTGAAAACAATTTTACAAAAAGGAAAGACAAAAATACCGAAAAATGGTACGCAAGTTGCAATCATTGCGGCAAAGAGTATAGCTTGGGAACTTTTGGCGGATACGGGAGTCTCACAAGCAAACACAAATATCGAGGTTTGCAAATTCTCAACCCTTTGGTAATTTCTCCTATGATGGTAAAAAACATTTGACTGGTATGTCTCATTTAATTGTTGAAGAAAATTTACCCTATATTTTTTCCGAAAGTCTTGCTTTAAGAGATTATGCTCAAGGTACTTTAAATCCTCAATTTAGAAATTATAGTCGCAAAACGATTAAAAAAGAAGTTATAAGGCAATATAACTTCGAAAAAGAAAATTTACAAACATTTTTCGCAAACTTTAATGGACGTGTTAGTATTTGTAGCAATATATGGGAGGATACTTATCATCATTTATATTATTTGGGTCTTACTGCATATTATATTGATGATGATTGGAATATGCATAAACGTGTTCTTGCTTTTCGTGAATTCAATGATCGCCATACTGCTGATAATATTTATATTCTCATTGAGCGTATTTTAATTGAGTATAATTTGCTTGATAAGGTGTTTGCTGTAGGTTTTGATAATGCTAGTAATAATACTGCTGCTATACCTAGATTGCGTGAATTGTGTGGTGCTTCTACATTGATGGGTAGGTTTTTCATCAACGTTGTGCATGTCATATTCTAAATTTGTGTGTACAAGATGGATTAGCGGCATTAGGAAATGCTTTGGAGGTAGTGAAGGGGGAATTAAATTGATTTGGGCTAACACTCCACTAAAAATGCAATGACGGCAATATTTGAAGGAAAGACGTGTCAATTATTGTGCTTTTCCTAAAGATTTGTCGATTCGTTGGAATAGTACTTATAACTTAATTCAAGTACTTATTAGATATAAAGAACATTTTCCTGCTTTTTTAAGACAAACTTGTAACTATATTATAAACCCGACTGACATCGACACTTGTGAAAAAATTGTTAATGTTTTGGTATATTTTAATAACGCAACTCAAACTTTTAGTCATGTTTATAAATCTACCACAAACGAATTTTTTGTTGAAGCTGTTAATCTCGCCGGCGCTTTTTTAGAATTTTCTGATGCCGCTTACGTTAGTTATTTTTGTGATTTCATGAAACAAAAGTTTTTAAAATATTATTCACATGTTCCGCATATATATGGTATTGCATTTGTTATTGATCCTCGTTATAAACTTGCCTCGTTGCCAAGTTGTATAGATTACTATTATGCTTGTTTTTTTCCAACTCAAAAGTTCGGTGATAATCCCATCAACCCTAAACAAGAATACAACGAGGTTAGTAATTTATTTCATCAATTGTATAATGAATTTCATGCACAATATGGTAATGCACCCCCTCCCATGTCGCGAACATCTTCGTCATCTAAAGGAAAATCACTTTTAAAATCTGCATTTGGTTCTCTTATGAAAAAAAGTAGAGCAACTCCCGCTACTGAACAAAGCTCAGTTAACGAGCTTTCTTTGTATCTAACATTGAATGTTGATTATGAAGTTGGGGATGACTTTGACGTTCTTAAGTGGTGGAAGGAAAATGAAAGAACGTTCCCGGTTTTATCAAAGATGGCTAAGCAAGTGCTAGCAATGTCGATATCAACAGTTGCCGTGGAACAAGAATTTAGTGCGGCCGGCAACGTCCTAACAGATTATAGAACGAGGTTGAGCCCGAGCTCTCTTGAGACGCTAGTTTGCTTCCACGATTGGTTGAAGGTCAAACGAAGAACTCAAGAAATGACCATCGCTCCCACCCGCCACTTTATGGAGGAAACAACCACCGAAGGCGGAGATTCCGATTGATTTTTTATTACAAAATGTATTACATTTTTTAAAGAGAAAATGGAAACTAATAATCCAACCTTTTAGCGGTCTTCTTACAATAATCCAACCTTTTGGTTATTCATGAATAATCCAACCTTTGCACCTCATCTTCATTCACTGGTCCCTGACCGGTTGATGACCTGCTATTTCAAGCTATTTTCTTATCTTTGCAAATCATTATATCATAAATCTCATCTTTCACAAAGATAATATTTTGCAAAGATAAGAAAATAACTTGGAATAGTATGTCATTAACCAACCAGACACCAATGAATGAAGATGAGGTGCAAAGGTTGGATTATTCATGAATAATCAAAAGGTGAGATTATTGAAAGAAGACCGCTGAAAGGTTGGATTGTTAGTTTCCATTTTCCCTTTTTTAAATGCATCATAATTCTCAATTGTACTTCTTATTTGAAATAAATATACTTGAATTATTTTATATCATTGTGTACATCAATTCATTAAATGTATCCCAATTGATATTTATTAGAAAATATATTTCATATTGTTATTGTTTTCTCAATTCTCAAATGTACTTCCTATTTCAAATAAATGCACTTGAATTTTGTTTTTAATAAGAATTATTATAATAATATAATATATAATTAAAAAAAATTATAAGGCCCGGCCCGGCGGGCGGCCCGGCCCGTGAACCGGGCGGGTGACCCGGCCCGAACCGGACCCGGGTTTACCCGGGCCGGTTCCGGGCCTCCCAAACCTTGAACCGAGGCCCGGCCGGTTCAAGGCCCGAACCGGGTCCATCCCTACTCGCAGAAGCTGTCTTTACCCTCCTGCTTCCTTCGTCTCCAATAGCTAGGTTTCTCCTCTCTATTTTTTATTTTCTTTTCTCCATCCACAACAAAAAGAAATCTCCTTCCCACATTCAAAATCGTTCTCTAATTTCAAATTTCAGGTTTCGCTCCTTAAAGTTGCACTTCATTCTTTCAGTTTCAGATTTGGAAGATTTTATTTGGTCAATCCAAGCTTAAATTTGATACTACCTCCGTCCCGTTCAAAGGTTCCCATTGTAAAATGGCACAGTTATTTAGAGAATAATTAAATATTGTAATTTGAGTACATTTTGAGAAATAATTTTAAAAGTTATGTAATATAATGGGGTCATTGGTGATAATTGTGATGCTATAGATGTATTAGTTTTAATACTTGATGATTAAATTCTCATTTAGAAGTATTGATTGTTTCCTAAAATAGAAATGAGAACCTTTAAATGGAACGTCTAACAAAGTGAAAACCTTTAAATGGGACGGAGGGAGATACTATTTATCATGATTGATGATGAAACTCGAATCGTGGGCGACCGTCGATGGAGACTGGGCTAGCTACAATGAACGAACAGATGGCTACGATTAACAATTGAGATCTATGGAGGGCCGGTGTTGAAGATCAGTAGAACAACTGGGAGCCTGGGATGGACGACGATGAAGATGGACAACCAATCGGCGTCGAAGAATAGCTTGACGCCTTGACAACATTGAAAATTTATAACTACAACCATTTGGTATTAGAAAAGGAAGTAGAACGACCAATCCCCGAGTCAAAACTATGAAAAAAAATTGAAGTTTGACGAAGAAGACGGCACTTTTCAAAAAAGCCCTAAAAAGCGACGCTTTCTCAGTTTCTCATGCATCTTCACTTGGCCAAGCCCTAAATCTTCACTCGTGTGCACTTCAGCACTTAAGCGCGCTTAATTTTTTGTGCTTTAATAAGTCTCGTTATGATGAACAACCTCATGTCGAATTGCATGGTTTTACAATTTTACTCATGCGGTATCACTTGGTGGTAAACATCCTTACCGTATGTGATTAGGTTAAGTCCAAAACAGGGGTAGGGGTGTTGTTACAAAAAAAAAGCCTTAGGTGGAAGATGTCAATTATCTGATGTTCTTATCACATTTTGGATTCGGAGTATTATGCAATTTTACATACTATGTGCTAGTTTGATCACAACTTAAAGCATTATGTGTGTGCGTGCAACTAGTCACATTTAAAAGTCAAGAAACATATATGATGCTAAATGAGTAGATCACCAGTCCCTAAACAACCCAAGTAACATTTCATGCCAGAGGAAGCCAGGCCGGGCAAAAAATACTTGAAATGGTAAAGACCAAAATAACAAAGATGTATTATGATCTCAAGGAGCACAAGTTGGATTAGACCAAAATAGTTACCAAACCAGTGGCTTACTAAACTTTATTGAAAAATAGGCTGCCAATATGAGTGAAGAGGAGATAGTATAATGAAGTGTAGATGATCAAATAAGGTTGTTTGAATGTTAAAAAGCAGCAAATGATATACATGACGCTTAATTAGCGAGATGGAAATGCTTCAGCAGGAGGAAAGATCAAATGAGCACAAGAATGTATGATAGGACAAAGTGAGGTTGCCCAAACCATTTGCAGGTTGATTATTTTTCCAGTTTTCCTATGTAGTATTCGCCAATCATCTCAAATACTCGGGACGCATGTTGAGGCCTGGAAAATGACACCAATATGGAAAGCACCATCAAAACAATACGGTAATCATGCAACACAATGCCAATAATAGTTCTGATTAGGAAAACAAATGGAAAATCTCAAATGAATTCAGAAGAATTGTCGGGGGGGATAATTCAGAGGATTGGTTTCTTTCCTTGACATTGTACCTTTTTAAATTAAAAATTGCTCTAATTTTTTATTTTATACATATACATTATTATATTTTCAATCACAACAATGATATAGTATCAAGTGTTATAAATTTAAATTTTGTAAAAATACCAAAATGACGTTCTTTTGAACTAAATTAGAGTTAGAGTTTGTTTGATATAAATTTTCATAGGGTTAATAGTGGTCCTTTCAAATCAAAGACAGTTCTAATTAGTAAATTAAGAGCCCGTTTGGTAGCACGAAAATCGGCTGTTTTGGCTGTTTCTGCTGAAATTTATGAAGTTCTGGCTGAAGTGGCTGTTTTGGCTGATTCTGCTGATTCTAGAAAAAAACATTTTAAAAATATATTTTATTAATAAAATAAAGAAAAAATTACATGTAAAAATAGCTAAAATGGTCATCTACAGTAACTTCAGCCAATACAGCCAGAAAAGTAACTCCAACCTTACTTTTTCTGCTTATTACACAATTCAGCACGCGAAAGTAAAAATTACGTGTTTGGTGAAAAAGCAGACTGATAAGCCTGATAAGACGAAAAAAGGGGTCTCCAAACGGGCTCTAAATGTTTAGCTTAGCTTGTTAAAAAAAACACATAAAGGAGAAGGAAACCCAATTTACTTGTACTCCCAAGAGCTCAACTTTAGAGTGCTGATGTTGACCCTGTTTTCGGCTTATCAACCTTATTTGCCAACTTTTTCATCAAACATAACTTTTGGTTTCGCACGTTGAATTGTGTATTAATCAAAATAAATAAAGTTGAAATTACTTTTCAGGCTGGATTGGGTAAAGTTACTGTAGAGGACCATTTTAGCTATTTTTTCATATATTTTTTCTTTATTTTATTAGTAAAATATATTTTCAATATAATTTTTTCATAATTCAGCAGAATTAACAAATTAGTCACTTCAACAGAATCAGCCGATTCAGCTATTTTTTCAGTGTTACCAAACGGGCTCTTAATCTTTCAGGTTGTATAGCGGTTTCTTGATGACAAGCCAAACACTCAATAACTTCACCATGAAAACTTACTCTCAATAACTTAATTATGTGCTCTTATTTAAAACACTCTTCTCAAATAAGCTCTACTTCTATAACCTGAGCTAAATATGGTCTTAATCAAGTTCACTACACCTATAAGACAACACTTAACATCAGCCTTTTATCCCCCCCATTTAGGGCCTCTTAACTTTTCACCAAACAGACTCTATATTCTACTAATTAATACTTTAATAAATCATCTTCAAACATAATTGAACAGTATAGAGTACAAAAATGAGGAATAACACACCCATAAAAACCTTCTGTTGAATCATCACCAGCATGTGCTAAGATGGCATCGCCCCCAGGATGTTCTTCCACATACGAGGTAACATCAAAAACCTATATTTTTTAAGACATGAAATAAACTAATCCAAGAAGATCAGAAAGAACACGTCAGGTAAATGAAATCAAATAAATGGTTTTGAAGTTAATAGGAAAACCTTGTCTTGTATAATGATCCAACAATCAGATCTTTTGTTATGCAATGCAACTTCTGCTTTACTGTAGGCTTTATGTACCTTCAGTTTGAAAACGGGAGATCAAGAAGAATTTGTTAACCAACGAAAAAAAGAATTTGCAATATAGTTCAAAATTCATCATCACCTTTCTTATGGCATGAAAAAAAAATGTAAATTTGGTTAGCAATATAAATTAATGAAAAAAAAGGTATTCTTGCAATGTTTTATGATCCTGCAATGTAAGTGGAAATAATTCTAAAGATACAATAAGTACTTAGTGAAAAAAATTATTGAACATGAATATCAAATATAGATATCACTTTTTTGTAACTGGATTTCTGATAATAAGAACACAAATTAACCAATATTAGCAGTCAATCACTTCAGGACTTCCTCTAAAAGTGGCACTGGTAAGCTGAATAGCTATTAAAATAACTTCCAAGATGTGCAAGAAGATAACTATAATAGTTCATGTCTAATCTCACATTATACTACATTCTTTCGCAAATGAGTAGCGTCCTATAATGGGCTAAAAAATAACTGAAGCTACTATTAGAATGTGTAACAGATGATGTCATTAGAAACTCATGGGATGAAACAATGGGTCATATATGTATATATCCCTAATGAAATTGGCGAATGCAAAGAGGACGGAAAACAGTACCTCCACTTGAGCATTTGCTTGGAGTTTTCTGGGTTCATCTAACAAAAAAACGAAAAAGAATGTACCATTTAGTATACAGGTTCAGCATCCATAATGAAGTACGTAGAGCGGAAGAAGCTATATCAGCACTAAAGAAGAAAAATAATCCACACCGGAAATTTTGCGCACTCTAGGGATAAGAATGAGGAGGCCAAGTAAGATAGCGAGCAGCAATGTTGCAAAAACTACATCCATGCTCTCTCAGCACCGGACCAGAAGAAAAGAGGCCTGGGGAGAAATTGGGACGCTCCGGTCCGAAGACGGAAGTCGATGGGGTCGGTTGAGACAAATATGAATCCTGATGGTTTGCAGCGGAGCGGGTTGATGGACTATGGAGCTTTCCTTCCTTTCTGGTCTGAAGATCAGAGGAATGAATTAGGACTGCACCGGTAGTCTTGGACTCACGTGGACTGGACTGGACATTAATTTTTTTTATTAAAAATAAAACAATTGGGTTGGGCTGAAGCCCACCCCTGCCCTCACAGTGATCCACCCTCACTCGACTGGTGAAGTAGTCGCAGTTAGGGGTCTGTTTGCAGCAGCTTCTGCTTTTAAAAAAATGTTTTTTTAAATGAAATGGAGAGAAATGATTAAATAAAAGTTGATAGTGTTTGAGAAAAAAGCGATTTTGAAAAGTAAAAGTGGGTAGTGTTTGGTAAAATAAGTGCTTTTGTGTAATAGAAAAAGTAAAAGCACTTTTGACGCGGAAGCCGAGAAAAAAAAAGTTGTAGTGTTTGGGAAAATAAGTGTTTTTTAAAAGCCAAAAGCTGAGAAGTGCTTTTTTAAAAGCAATTGCAAACCAACCCTAAAGATAGGTGGCAATGGGCGGATCACAGGCGCCTACGCATATAATCCTACCTGACTATAGAAATGGCAATTGTGACGTATCTAGGATGTTTTTACTTGGACTGTAATTTGTCCTAGACCCCAGACTTGGACAGTTATAAAAATACAAAGAAATCAGACCAGACCAGACCGGACCAACAAATTACAATCCAAGTGAAAACATCCCTAGTGGGTGAATAGGTACGACTGGTGAGTATCCGTTTTATTTTTAAGGGTAACAGAGCGGTTACGGTTTTATACATGCCCACTTAATTACCCTCCATGTATCCGTCCCATGTATTTTTAGTTATATTTTTATTACGATTTTTCCTATGATTTGTCTCACAACCAATAAAAGATGAAATTCTTTTCATTTCATTATGTATATATGGATAATGGATGTTATAACTGTAGTGTATGAATGAGAATTTGTAATAGATTTTAATAGTCGTTTTTTATTATTGTCAGATTTGATTTGTGATTTTTTTTCAATATAAGTACTTTCGGTTCAAAATAGTTTAGGTTGTCTTCTTTCTTGTCTTGTAGCTACACGAAACTTAGTGATGTCTGACATCTAGAGTGTCTAGGCGATGGCAATTTCCTCTTTTAAAATATTAAAATATCAATGACTCATTTAATAAAGCGTTTACCCACAGTTATACCCGTTACTCGTTGGGGCGATTATGATTTGAATAAAATTTACTTGTTGGGTAATGAGGCGGTTATGAGGTGGTGAAGTTACCCAATGGGATGGGTACGTTTATATGTATAACCGTTCCTGATCTGTCACGTTGTCATCTCTACTTGCTTGTTGCGTAATTTCACCTCCCGTAGTCGAGTATAATTTTTACCCCAACCTTAACTGCCACAATGGATAATAGATTTACTAAATGAATCATTGATAAATTAATATAAAATTAACATTTTAAAAGGCGAAAAATGGCATCATCTAGACGACTCTAAACGTGAGAGGCCACTTAAGAATTTCGCATATCTACATGGCAACAAAAAAGACAACATAAATTAAATTGAACCTACAAATACTTGAACTGAAAAATAATTAATAAAAAATTAATAATAACGAAACAGGACTATTAAAACATTATAAACTTTCATTGATATTATAGGAAAAGAGAAAATTCAAATTTCATCGCTTATTAGTTGTGAGATAAATATAGGATTTTTTTTTTATCAAAATAAAATTAAAAAGGGGAATATAATTTAAATACCTCGAACTATTGAGGGTGAGGTAAGCTCCTCAAACTTGCATTTCTAATATAAATACACCAAATTTTATATAAAAAGTCGTCTTAGCACCATGATCATATGTTTTTTCTTTCACAAATGTAAAATTATAGTGTTTAGTAAATAATTTAAATATTCTAACCATTTTTTAGTGTGCAACTAACATTATAAACTTTTTTTAATGTTATTTATTTTAAATAGTGAAGCTTAGATTAGTAATTTCAACCTTATAAATGCCCAAAGTATTTTAAATTTTAAATTTCAGCCCTAAAAGTTTACATTTGTAAAAGAAAAACATATTATGATGTTGCTAAGATAATTTTTTATATAAATTTTGGGATATTTTTATTACATATGCAAATTTGGGGTGCTTACCTCACACCCTTAAAAGTTGGGGTATTTAAATTATGTTCGCCTAATCTATTAATATATAAAGAGACAGTTTTTTTGTGAATTGGTTTTCCCCCTCAAAAACGTCATTGTCAAGAAATTGGTATTAAGTGGATTAATTAATATAATAATAGTACAATTTTGGGAGTTGTTGAATATTGGGTGGGAGAATAAGATGAATTCAAATACACCAAGTTGATGTACGGTTGTGATTTTCCCTAGATTTTCTACCCACTTTGGGCTTATTTCATTGGTCACTTTTTAGGTAATATCTTTTTGAATTTGATCTTGATTTTCTAGCCAACTAAAGATTTTTCTCATTGGTCCTTTTTTGTATATGAATTCAGATGAGCTTACTGTTGAGATTTATTTTGATTTCCAACTCAAGAAGCAGGTTTTCTATTGGACAATTTATTGGTGTGACACTGTTCAAACGTATGCGTGCTCGGATGGCTTAAGGGGTGCATGATTGGGTTACACTGTTTTAATTTAAATTTTTACTGAACAGTGTTTTCCCCAAAGGCCCAAACCCATAACCATTTCCTATTGGTTAAGTTGGAGGTGCACACTGTTTGATTTCATTGTCAAGGTAAAACTCTTCTTCAGCTATAAATGTAGCAACCAATGTATTGTAATCCCCACAGCTCTTCACTACGATGAAAACAAAAATACAAGCAGAAGTTGTCAAAACTACTTGGGCAATCAAGTCGAGCGCGGTACGTGTGACCGACAGACGTCTCACGACTCTTTTCCGGAGTCGATGGAAATAGTGTTTCAACTTTCAAGACTAGGAGGTTTATGTTTTTTATTTTATTTTATTTTACTTCAATATTTATTTCTTTTGCTCTTCCAAAAACAAATTTAGGATTTAAAATGTTTCGGAGTTCAAGGCTCTGAAATGGATGCACCCATTCTGAACCAGTTTATCAACAAGGTTATTGGTCTATTCAAGGAGGAAAACTATTTGTTTTTTAAAACTTCAAACTGAGGCTATGCGTAGAGAAGCATACCTGAAGTCTCTTCCAGGAGCATGCACACAGCTATATCCAATTTAAACCCTAAATCTACCCTACATCTTATTATTACAACATTTACAGACCAAAAATTTAAACAAAAAAAGGCTTCAGGGAAAAATTCTTCAAAACTGAAGTTTCAAGAGCGTCGAAAAAATCCCTGCAAGTCCAAAGTTTAAATCCGCATTAGAAATCAACAATAATTCCAATCTACGTATGATGGAAATATGAATGATGAGGATTTGAAATGAATCGTTGCATTCGAATATGAAAACAAAAATTGGCAGAAATAATAAATGTACAAGAAAAACCCAGTATTTTATCAGACAATATACCATATATCACCCCTGATTGGCTGGCATGTCAATGGCAGTTAGTTTCACCTAGGCAGTTCTTATAATGGTTTTTATTAAGAATACAAACATTTGTGGATTCTCAAGGCCAATAATATTCACTTTAACAAATCTTATAATTGATATATATATTTCCTAATACTGCCAACTTTCGTAACATCATATTATTATTTCAATAATAAATACTATCGGCTGCGTAAGGTAGCATAAATGTTTTGGTTTAATTTGAAAACTCACAAATGAAATATTAAATGACAAGTGTGTAGAACTTTTATTTAAAAAAAATGTGAATGAAGTAATTCTACATGTAAATAATTCTACATGTGCATAAAATAATTTTACATGTAATCCAGCACCCAGACTGAGTGGCAGACTTACGTATTTTCTTGGAGAAAAATATACTGGATGAAGAATCCAAGAAATAAACTTTAAGTACTGAATTTAGAAGTCAGTTGTGGTTGAATTTTTCAAAAGCCAATATTTATTTATTGAATCAATGTCTTAGCTTGGGGATGATTTTTAAAACTGCACGATTACTTTCATCATGAACAGAAAATAATAACATCACCTGAGTGACATTCTTAATTATTGATGTTGTTTGGGCTTTTAAAAAATTGAGTTAAAGTTTTTATCTTTCTTCGAGATGTAAGTTGGCATTAAGAAGCATTAGAGTTGGGCAGTGGGTGGGGTTGAGAGGTTCGAGGTATTAAAGGATTGCTAAATGGTGGGTGGTTTGAAATTTGAAATCTTTAATTAAAGTGATGGGGTATTTTTTTTTAAGTAAATTGGGTCGGTCAGTGCTAAATTTTTCTTTAGTTCTCTAGAGTCTAGACCCTTCTCCATTTAACAAAGGCATACTATGTAAAAAAAACCTTCCCAGTGTAATAAAAAATTTATTAGAATAAATATTTTATGTTAAGGAAAAAATGGTTTTAAAATTCTATTATTAATTCGGTAAAAAGTTTTATCATAGAGGTTAAACAAACTTTAATTACACCTGCGGAAAAAAACTGGGTTGTGTTTTTTTTAACCGAGATCTATTTTACCTGATGTATAATTATTTTTTAAAAAATGTAAGTATCATGATTTAATATTTAATAAATGTCAAAATATACAGTGTATGATCATCAACAAGTTTTTAAAATTTTAGGGTATGAATGACCTAACGAAAAACATTAAACGAGGTTAGGAGATAAACTGTTTGTTAGGAAAAAATTGTAATGTTTTTCTTTTATCTGTGCGGCCAGCCTCTTTTTGTAGCACAGTTCACAGATCTTAAGGGTTTGAGAGTTTTGTCCAATAAAAAACGTGTTTGTTTTGTTTGTGAGTTAAAGAACATTTGTAGAACAAATAGTGTGTGTGCGCATGTGAGGGATCAGGTTAGAGTTTGTGGTTTGGTGTGGTGGAGGACGAGGAATGTTACCTGTGGGTTGGAGTGGAGATCCAACGCCGTTGGTTGCTGTTGAGGTAGCTTGAGTCATCGCGGCGGCGTGGGTTGGAGTTTGTTTTTTGTGGCCGGGGTGTTATTTGTGAGGTCTGAAGCCTAAAGGTGTTGGCGGTGGGTTATTTTCCGATATGTGGAAGTCGTCGGAAGAGGTCTGAATAGGGAGTTTCTGAGGGAATGAGTATGTGGCTGATATTAAGGGCTTGGTTATTTGGGTCTGGGATTATTCCGGATTTGGGCCGGCCCATCTCAAGTCATTTGGGGTGTTTTCAGTCTTTATAATTTGGCCTTTAGATATATTGTGTGGATTTATGAAGGATGGCTTAACTTTATCTTCTACAAAAAGATGACATTGTTTTGTATTGTTATGATATGATATCGTCCCGTTTGAAAATGGAACCATACCAAATGGGTTTAGGTTCCTAAATTCGATGGACCCCATCCCGTTCGTACTTCGGCGATGCTTTTGCGTATTTGTTGGATACGATAGTATTTTTTATCTTTTTTAAAATATAAAGTGATTTCTTTTTAACCATGATATTGTAAGTGTGTTTCATTTATTTCTTTGAGTTATATCAATATTGCATGGAGATAGATGTTGTAATCGATGGTGTAATTTGAATTGGTGAGCACAAATAAATTTGAAAGAAAAATTCTCCGACCGTGCAACGCACGGGTGCTCATACTAGCGACACAGAGGGATTAAAATATCAGAATATTATAACACATTTTCACATATTTGCCAAGTCCCCTGATTTGTCCTATTACATAGGCAATTCATATAAATTTATAGTCACTATATTACTTGGTCATTATAAAAAAACCTTTGAAAATGGAAAAATTATTTTTTAAAATCATTTATATATCACGCAAGTGAATTACTCAACTAGAAGTGTCAACATCAAGTTTTAGTTCACATAAAAAATCCGGTAAATGTTCACCGACATTTACCCCATTAACTTTGATGGTTTGCCTTCCGAGTTTAAAAAAAGAGTGGGTTGAGATGTGATATTCGTTCAAACCCTAATTTAAACATTAAATAACAAAAGCACAAGTTTGATTGAGTGTTTGGGTGAAAGTATAGAAGTACTTTTGGTGCTCTTATTTACTCCTAGAAGAAGTTTATTTAAAAGCAGAGGGAGACCAACTTATGAAAACTGTTTATGATTCTATTTCTGCTTTAAAAAGAAGCACAAGCATCATAAGTTCCAAACACTCCTTTATGCATTTTTGAAAATAATGATGTGTTGCGGGTGAAAGTAATGATGGTCATGTTCGTATTACTATTCCTAAAGATCTATTGATACCCACAGATGGAGATCCTATATATAGCTGCGAATGTTGAAAGCATATTTCTGGAATGTGTTGAATTTGCAGGTGATATGAGTTATTTGGGTGACCGTGCAATTTTGGCACCGACACTGCCTGTGGTTGAAGCTGTTAATGGCTATATGACGGCTCTTAATGTTGGTGAAGTTTCAAGAATATATCTTAGTTCTAACAATGTTTCTAAGGTAGATTCTACGACCGATCTAATGGCAGAAATGCACACACCTGAGTTCTTGAATAGTATTCAGAGAAATGTTCAACAATGTTTAAGTTTACATTAAATACATATTTACAATGTTGTGGTTTCAACGTATTAGTTGGATGTTTTTTATCTTTTAAGTACGGAGTAATGCTTAGTACTCTCATTTTGACCATAATATTACAAGTGTGTTTCGTTTAATGCTTTGATATATATATATATATATTAGTATTACATGAAGATAGATGATGTCATTAATTGATAGTGTGATTTAAATCACTAAGCACACATAAATTTGGAAAAAATACATGAAGATCATATATCTACCAGATTAGACCAAACATACCAATTCAGACCAGATCAGAAACATTCAAACCAATTAAAAACACCCTAAGAATGACATAAGTATTTTCACATATCTGCACCCCCCTGATTTGCCAATTTACCAGGGCAATTCGTGTAAAAAATGCAATTCGCATAAATGCATAGTCACCATATTACTTGAGATGTTTATACTTAGACTTATTTCAGTTTCAGACCAAAACAAACTTAAGCAAAACAGACCAATTCAGACCAGATAAGAAATATTCAAACCAATTAAAAACATCCTAAGAATGACGTAAGTATTTTCACATATATGCACCCCCTGATTTGCCAATTTACCAGAGCAATTTATGTAAAAAAAATCAATTCGCATAAATGCATAGTAACCATATTACTTGAGATGTTTATACTTAGATTTATTTCAGTCTCAGACCAAACCAAACTAAAACAAACCAGACTAATTCAGACTAGATCAGAAACATTCAAACCAATTTAAAACACCGTAAGAATGACATAAGTATTTTCACATATCTGCACCCCCTGATTTGCCAATTTACCAGAGCAATTCGTGTAAAAATGCAATTCGCATAAATGCATAGTCACCATATTATTTGAGATGTTTATATTTAGACTTATTTCAATCTCAGACCAAACCTAACTTAAACAAACCAGACCAATTCAGACCAGATAAGAAACATTCAAACCAATTAAAAACACCCTAAGAATGACATAAATATTTTTCACATATATGCACCCCCTGATTTGCCAATTTACCAGAGCAATTCGTGTAAAAATGCAATTCGCATAAATGCATAGTAACCATATTACTTGAGATGTTTATACTTAACCTTATTTTAGTCTCAGACCAAACCAGACCAATTCACACCAGATCAGAAACATTCAAACCAATTAAAAACACCCTAAGAATGACATAAGTATTTCACATATCTGCACCCCCTGATTTGCCAATTTACCAGGGCAATTCGTGTAAAAAATGCAATTCGCATAAATGCATAGTAATCATATTATTTGAGATGTTTATATTTAGACTTATTTCGACCAAACCAAACTTAAACAAACCAGAAAAATTCAGACCAGATCAGAAACATCCAAACCAATTAAAAATACCCTAAGAATGACATAAGTATTTTCACATATCTGCACCCCCGATTTGCCAATTTACCAGGGCAATTCGTGTAAAAAATGCAATTCGCATAAATGAATAGTAACCATATTACTTGAGATGTTTGTAATTAGACTTATTTCAGTCTCAGACCAAACCAAACTTAAACAAACCAGACCAGTCTATACTTGGATATTAGAAATAGTAGAAGCACGTAGAACATTTCCCCACAAATTTACATTCAAGTATAATTCAAGAATGACATAACACGCTTTCACATATTTTACTCACTTATTTTACCTATTTAGAGAGACAATTTGTCTAAAAATGCAATTCGTATAATTTTATAGTCACCTTATTACTTAGTCATTGTAAATAATTTACATTCAATTAATTTTTATGAACCTTTGAAAATGAATAAAAATGGAAAAATCATTTGCGCATCGCAAGGTGAATTACTAGCTAACCAGTTTACTAAAAGAAATGATTTTGACATAAGTTAGTACGAGCTAAAGTGTGTTGATTCCTAAGCATTCCTATTAACAACTTCAAATGTTAGCAGACATTGTGGCACATTGGTTTTGTTGTTGAAAATGACTTTTTTAGTCATATTCCAACTTTGTGTGGTTAGGTTAATAATAATCATTCAACATTATAGCGTGTGATACATACTATAAAAACTTTATATAGTATATATTATATTTTTTTAGTCATATTCAATTAAAATTACAAGTTTAGTCCCGTGTTGGGTTGTTGTTGAAAAAACCGGTATTTACCCACAGACAGTTGCATGTTGTAGTATCAAGGTTACAAATCATTGTGGTTTGAAAATTCTAATTGTTGATGAAGATGAATGAACCACTAACAAGACTCAAAATGTTGTACTCAAAGAAGTGTTCAACAATGTTTAGGTTTACATTAAATGCATATTTACAATGTTATGGTTTCAACGTATTTGTTGGATGTTTTTGATCTTTTAAGTAATGCTTAGTACTCTCATTTTGACCATAATATTATAAGTGTGTTTCGTTTACTGCTTTGATGTATATCAATATTACATGAAGATAGATGATATCATCAATTGATAGTGTGATTTGAATTACTAAGCGCACATAAATTTGAAAAAAAAAATCTCAAACCGTGCATCGCACGGGTGAGTTTACTAGTTAAAAATAAAAGAGGCGAGTACGAGGTAGGTAATGGGGGCGGACATGTATAAATCTGTAAGCTCCCCATTACCCATAAAAATAAAACTATTCTTCACCACCATGTATGTACTTGTTACCCGGTCAATGCGATTTTCTCTATTTTGACCTAAGCAATTCGCAGTGGGTACTCATTGGATCGGGTACAATTGCCATCCCTAGAAGTAGTTAGTACATGCAGGTGGGCGGACTTCATGTTATCACATAGATACAGATTGACATGATCCTACTATTAACTCTAAGAAATAATGAAAGAAATATACTTTAGGCTTTTAAGAAGATAAAAATAAGATCACTTTTAAATTTGGATACAAAGAGTCTAAAAATTAGTGAATAGTCCAAAACACTCTTAAATAAACCCTCTCTAATGATCCCCTCCTCTCATCCGCTCCAATGATCTTCTCTCATCCGTCCCTTTTGCACTGCTGCCACGTCTCACGCCATCTTTGACGCCGTACAAAATCATCGCTCCATCTCCATCTCCATCTATGCCCCTTGTTCACCATTGTTGGCTCTAGATTCATACTTTTCATCTCACACCTCTTCTCCTATCTACTCTTTAGTCAATGTCGTCCAATGTGAGCGAACGAGCATGTAAGGTGTTTTTAGTCGATAGATATACATGCTACGTTGGATGTGTGTACATACTAGAAAAGCCCACTTGATGAATGAGAATATAAAAAATGGTGGGAGTATCACCTATTGAAAATAACACACAGAAGTCTCAATTGTGGTGGTTTGATTATGTGCGTAGAAGAGCAAGTGATGCACATGTTAGACGAGTTAAGATGTGCGGAGAAGAGCAAAGAGGAGAGGGAGAGGATGACACAAACACATGCACATGAATTAGATCCTGAATGAGGAGTGTTGTGATTCTTCTTGATTTGGATGAAAGTATTGTTTTGGAGAAAGCAAAGTGGAAGACGGGTACTCAATGTGTTAAAAAGTAGCTAGGAGCATTGGCCGCAGTGTTGACATTGGTAAGTGTTAATTGGCTGAAATAGTTGCAAAAATTCTAAAAGAAAATTTCCATTTCAACCAAATAAGTAAAAAGCTCTACTTATTATTCAGGAGAATAAGCCACTTAGCTTTTGGCTATAACATGGATTCTAGTAACAAAACACAACATACACGTATGATGACGTACCCCATCACTCCAAGGTTCTAACTCTTACAAGTGATTATTAGTTGGGACCTGGGGTTCCATCCTAAAAGTAACCTGATTGGAGGAGTAGTCCAAAACCTTATATATTGCTTAATTGTTTTATAGCTTTCCAGTGTGGGACAAATGCTTTAACATATTCGATCATTTTCTTTTCACAAGCCCCCCTCCCCATAAGGCCGGCATCCCCTTGATCATTTCCCTTTCCTCCTCAAGCAACCTTGCTTGCCCGCGCAAACAAATAACCATGCACCCATAATGTTGTAAGTTGTAACATTAGTTATATATGATGATCTTAATCAGATTCATTTTTCATCATCCTAAAATAATACCTTCCCGCCATGCACACAAGCATGCACTCAGAACGCCATGCCATGCCAGAAAGGTCAAATGATTAGCTAAGCCTCACACCGGATTCCCTCCTCGGCTCCTCATGCAACGGAGGGACTCCCTTCACATGTGCATGCAGGTCATACCCAACTATTGGGAGCTATTTTAGGGAAATACTATTAGTTTTATTTGGAATAGGAATCTTATTAATTATGGCTATTATTATTTTGCCTTATATTGCAGTTGAACAATTCTCTTTGATCGGTATTCTCTTGTATATATACCTACGATCTGCACATGAATAAACTGAAGGGATTTACCCCTTATTTCTTTTGTTCTCCTACGATTACATGTTGCGCATAAACATACAAAGTTAATATGGTATCAGAGCGTATTTCACGCTGAAGCTGCAGGAATGTTGACGGAAGGACCAACACCCAACAACACTAGAGCGTCTCGCGGAAAACGGCAGCAAAGGCTCATGTGGCCGTTACTGCTGAGAACAAAACTAAGCTGCCGAATGATGAAGATAGCAGCGGTCAGTCAACGTCTCTGTTGGGTTTCACACCTGAAAAGTGGAAAATGTTGTTATCCGTTTTTGGTAATTCACCTTCTACTGCTAATGAGAGCATGGCTGGTAAGTTTAATAATAATGCTTGGATTATTGATACCGGTGGTACCAATCATGTATGGGGAAATTTGTCTTTGTTATGCCATGTTAAGTCTATTGAACCATGCTCAGTGGGTCTGCAAGATGGGCAGACAGTTTTAGCTACACAGGAAGGACGTGTGCGGTTTACTGATGATTTATATTTAGATAATGTGCTTTTTGTACCAAAATTGCATTGTAATCTCATATCTGTATCCCAACTGAGTGACAAGCTAGCTGGACTGTTTTGTTCAATTCACTTGTAACTTGTGTGTTACACAGGACCCGGCCCTCCCTCGAGGAGGGTGATTGGAACGGGTGAACGGCGGGATGGACTGTTGTGACACTCCGAAAATTTGAATAACATAAAATAAAATAACATAAT